TCTAAGTAGGAATTTACTTTCAATGTGACTCCAGGCAGCTAAGTAGTATTTGCATCCGAGTGATAATACCTTATCATTGCGTTTAAGTGAAAAGGTCAAGTTTATACATTATCAAGACTACAAGGAAACATGGTAGATCACAACAATAATTGAAGATGTTACGATACGTCTGACGACATACCATTTCTGGTTTTATTTGTACTACATTTCATAAATTGATCATGATTAATATTTGATGGATGAGCCAAAAATTTAGAATCCGGATGATTTAAAAACTTTTAGATTTTTCCCAAAAAATTTCAGTACCGTTGTTTTTGATAGATTTTTCATAAATTTTCGTAATAAATTCCAACGCTCTCACCTCCACTTCTTCAACTGATCTCACAATTATATTTATTACATCTTTATAATCTTGTTTTCTTTTCAAAATATTTAATTTGCACATTCTCCGAGCAGCATCACATTTACTATCTATTTTCAATGTATTACTGCAAACAAAACATCTACGAGCTCGAGCCAACTACGCACAAATTCAGTAACCTTATCCATATTGGACAATACTGCGTCCAAGTCCGATCCAAACATGTTCAGCTATGTACATGCGAATCCGTATCGGATTCAATCGTGGGAATACCTGGAAAAATTCTCTACTCGGGTAACTACTGCCCTGGTCAGTTCGTGCTTGATTGTGCAGACGTGTGCACCTTGCAGTTGTCACGATGGAAATTTTGAGGCCTTGTCGAAAATTTTTAAAAAATAGTCCACTCTTTTACAGATACTTACTGTAACAATAATAATACTATGACAACACTGTGTCCCATACTTGTTAGAATAAATCAAGCACAAAAAGTGTTCTGCAGTTCTTGAACTCGAAAGGCATCGAATACCATCGTCAGAAATTATCAAACGAATCCACAAGTACTTCGTGAATCCTCCAAAGACCTTGAGAGTGGCTTAACGACCAAAGTCTTTCTATTATCTTTCGCAACTTTGTCTCACTTAACACTTCGAATGTCATTGAAAGCCTCCAAAAGACTTTCAAAATTTTTGTTTGTGGGCGCTCAATTAGTTACTCAAGCCATTACTCAGGATGACCGATACATTAGTCTTTTTATTAACGACTAGTGTGAATCATCATCAAGAGCCTGTTTGAACTCCATTTCGTAACACACCTATATCCATTCCTTAAGCTTTTTTTATGCAAAGCACTACTTTGCGGATGATGTTTTTCATTTTAATTAAGATTAACACCCAAATACTTAAATAATGAACGTACATGTCAGTGCAGTTCAAAATTTTTTGAATACAAAAGGATATATACAAATCCACCGAGCACTTGGTAGTTCATCTAACGGTTGGATGTACTTAACGCATGGCCTCTCGTCACCGTCTGCATTTCACATTATTCCGATTCTCACCATGACACTTCTAAGATTACGCGCTCTGTGTCGCAGTGCATTGTGTATTTTCGCGCGTCAGAGTGAGAAATGTTTTGCAAAAGCTGTTTATTTCGTACCCATCACGTGTACAATGCACGATGTGAAGGGACGAGAGACCTGTGTTGTATTCTTTTGTCCTTCGTGTGGCTACAACTGCAGGAAAGAAAAAAAAAAAAAAAGTGAGATCGCGTCCAAGATCGGCCGAGCAGCGTACATTATGAATTATGTGTGTAACGGATGAAGCGGACTAACGTATATTATCAACAGTCGTACGTTACGGGCGGCCGATTGGAAGATATCAGACACGAGATAAACGGGAAATTACCCGTGCCACTAGGTACTAGACAATTGGCTGTTACGTGTGTGGAGAATCGGGGGGAAAAAAAAAACGTAAAACATAGGAGTATCAATTAACGAAGACGTAGGATTTCCACGAAGAGATTTCGATTCACCGAGGGAGTGGTTTTTTTTTGCAATGCATAAATGTATAGCCAACGAGTGAATCGTCTCTTTGGAAAGAGCTAACGATGCCAAAGATATATATATATGTACGGGTGGTGCAGTCTGCACGTAGACGGAGAGTTTGCCGGGGATTGATCCATCCGTGCTCAGCAAAGCAATAAAATGCGGGCAGTCCAGCAAACCGTAACGAATGGTATAATACACTATAACTACAAATGTATGTGTGTATTTCCCCCGATTTTTGGTACTTTTGGGTGTACAGTTTGACAGCTCGGTGAAAAGTTTTTACGGATGACCGGTCGCGCTTCCAACGTCCGTTAGCTCCACTTTGCGCATTTTTTTTTGGCGTCGATGGCTCTGCCAATGGGATCTTAGAAAGGATCGATTTAGTTCGGTTACTTTTTTTTTTTTTTTTTTTAAGAAATAATCAAGGCTGTTCTGTACTCGATTAAAAGTCGAAACAGGCACACGAAAATTCAGGGATTAGGTTTTTTAAATCGCAGGATAAAAGCCGTTTGAACACGACCTCTTAGCAGCTCTTAAAGGACGCAGTGAGTTTTCAACGTATGAGTACAAAAGAATACAACAGTAATCTTTTTTTTTCAAGTATAGATTGACGTTTTGAAAACTGCAAGGTGCTTGACTTAATGAAAAAATGTATTGGGATGAATTTAGATAGTCGGCCAATTGCAGCGTGTTAAATTCAAGGTAACGACTGTTTACTGGTAAATCGTATCTCTGCGAGATGTGGAGCACTACAGTAGCTCCTAGTGATTGATCTGCATTATACATGAAGAGCTAAAACTTGATAGATAAGTCTTAATATCGTACAATAGCATTTACTTTCCTCCAAACCTCCTTACGTATTATAGACATTGTGTCGATGTTACGGTTCTTTTCTGAACCCATAACTAAGTACATCGGTTTCTTGAATTACTCGTAGAGTTACATTTTTGACTTTGGACAGGACTGAACCAGCTCTAATAGGTTTTTGTTCGGATAATTCGACTTTACGCATTGAAACGAGACAAACAGGATGTTCCGATACTAAGTATTATTTGTGGCATTACAAGTACATACATCACCGACATCAACTCTGATGGGGAAATTTTTTCTATCCAATAGAAATCGACGGTACCAATTTATTTTTAAAATACATTTGAATGAGAACCAAGTGTATTCTTGTTCACCTGCAGCAAGGTAAAAAAAAAAAATACTGATATCTTGGTCAGTTCACCGAATGATAACCAGTGAGACTCGGTTGAAGAAAAATCCCTCCTCCGTAGCGCTCTCCAGCGAGGTCTTTACGACTCATTCAATCTACACTGGCAATGGCACACGTGTGTATACGTATAAACCCCCCACCCCCCCCCTCGCATCCTTTTCCGAGTAGCTCATGCATTTTCCCGGGACTATAGAATCCCTCCTGCACAAGGACTCTTCGTTAACAAGACACTCGTGATTGCAGGTTGCGAAAGACCCTCGCACCATGAGGACAGGCAGAATAGAAGCCGTTATTCAAGTTCGTCGTGTGGAAGGATTTTACACATTGATTGCCAATTTATCCTACATACGCGTATAATTGATGTTGCAAACGTAAGGCCAACGCGATCTCTCGTCGTGGAACCTCATTGTCGGGTGGTGAGACGGTTGGTTATACGGGTACATATCTGCGCACATTTATTTCCGTGCTGTGTGGATTGATGGTTGGAGGTTTCGTGATTGGCTTCCGTATTACGAGACGAGGATGGTTTTCTAATTTTGGTGGCACGTTGAGGGGGTATAGTGGTAAAGCCTGAACTTGACCTATGGTCCTTAGTGTCCTTACTGCATGTAGTATTGAAAAAAAAAAAAAATTGCGGTATAAACACATATTTTAGATAAATGACATATATGATCTTTAACGTCTTCGTTTACTTAATCTGTTAAAAAATTATTTTGCCTCAGTCATGAAATAGATCTATGTACTCATTCGATTTTTCTGCGAACTTGGATGCAATGAAATTTGGAACTACAAGTCGGCTTTAGGTCTTTATCACCAGGGTAACGCTATTCGGAGCAATTTTGTCCTGAGAAAGGTTTGACTAACAACTGAGAACACAATAAAAGTACATTTTGAAAGAGCTACTCCTTTAACTGAATGCATACTTGAACATATTTTGCATTGCTTCATTTTTTTGCTCGATTCTTTGGTGAAGAGGAATAGTCGTAAATATCACTTTAACACGTAATCAAATAATTTCACCCCATAAAATTTATGATAGAATATCATGAAGATTAAAGGTTACACAAATTTTGCATAGAACAAATGAACAAATTTGCAAACTTTACACGTAGGTCTAAGATATTACTTTTCGAGAACATACTTTCGTTAGGACAATGTTCTAACGAAAAAAATGTAAACAAGAAACATAATCGTTACCTTATAATCATCATCACCAATCGTAGAAACATTTTCAAAGAAGTTTTCATTGGAGAAAAATCCCACAAATGACGAATATATATACAGTATATTCTTGCATCAAATTTCCTCAACTGATCCTATTGGCCCTCCGAATGCATTATTTTATTCCTTTGGGCTAACTACTGGAACCAACTTTTTAGTATTGTATACTGGTATTATATCAACATTACGTTTCATTTCTCGTGAAATGAATAAATAAACTGGGAAAACACGAGCGAGGATAAATCAAAAAATCAGCGTTGCATCAGACTCAGAACAAAAATCACCAGGCCCGCAAAGTCCCGCAACCACGTATATATTATCTCTGAGAGCGTAGAACCCGTTTTCCAAGCTCGTAGGTATCAGCTAGAACTCGAAATTACATAAACGCCACACTCGTGGCGGAGAACAACGCGAAAACCGCTACACACGAAAGCAACAACGCCCAGCATCAGTGAAACCGAGATGGTATCGGTATAACTAACGTATACAAGCCACGGTATGGGTGTACACGTACAGATATGTGTGTATACCGCGATTGCGAGAACTCGGTGAGAAAAGGGAAGGAAATGTAAGATAATAATAAAAAAAAAAAAATAATAACAACACAATTCCCCGTCATTATGCACGATACGAGGTGTATATTATGTTATGAGGTTGTCCGCTTTTGATTGCAGAACAATGCAGTGGCACCGAGTACTACGGGAAACTGATCGGAAAGCTATCTCAGCTTCATCACGGTGTCAGCGGCGAAGTTTACGCCGTGGATGCGAGGACCTTATTCCTGAAGGACTTTACTTACGATGGCGAGGGACCAGGTTTGTTTTGATGTTCTTCATATTGTTACTTACATTGTCGGCGCCAAGATGTGACGTACTGATGAAAGGGTGTATCTTATGGTCGCTAATGTCGAGTATTATTCTTACTTTCATGGGGTACTTGAGATTTTTTGGACTGTTTGTTTTGATTATTTTCCTTATCGAGTGTTTTCTACGATTGAGAAAAATAATCATTTTTGAAAAGTTATCAATAAAATACAGAATTATGTGTGCCTTATAAAAACAAAGTGTGTTATTGTTGTAGGTAATATATATTTAAAGAATTTTTATGAGTTGGTAATTTTTGTTGTTGTTGTTTTTTTATCTATTCATCAATATGTGAGTGATATGAGACACAGTTTTACTTTTGTTTATTTATTATTTTTCCAACAGTACATTTTATTTGTCTGTCTTTAAACTTGGATTTTTTTTTTTTCCAAGTCTCATCGTAACTCATGTTTAATCCTCACAAGAATAATTTTTATTCATTTCTTAACTTTTTATTTTATTTTTTTTCGTGCCTGCTCTTATCCATCTCCATCTCCATATTATGCGTAAGTTTTTGTACCATCGATTCGAGTTTAATTTTTTACTATTTAGAATTTTTTTCTAAATTCTCCTTTAAAAAAAATTAACACTTGAGAATTTCAAATAAATATTTTCCTACTCTTTTCTTACCCCCTGTTTTTCAGATTTTTCTTCCTGATGAATGAAAGTTTTAAGTGATTACATTTCATTTTTCCAAGATACATAATTTTTTTGGAAACCTATAAATTTTTAGAAAGATTCGTCGTAACTACGTTTGCATTGTTTCTTTATAAAATTTACTAAAATTTAATTTTTTTATATAATGATATTCCACAACGTAGTCCTTTTCTGTGGTCTAGAACTAAAAATTAGTCAACTTGGTTGGGTATGTTATAATAAAATTTTGACGAAAGAAAAAAATACGGTAAAGACAAAACGATATACCAGTGCCTTGTGTCTCCAATAAACAATGGATGTGAAAATAGAAGACTCGCGTCTCCACTTCAGTGGAACTAAACTTTCTCTGCGTGTGCCCTAAAACAATTTTTTTTTCTTTTTTTTTGTTAGAGGCTGATCTTTCTCGCGAACTACAGTTTTGTTTTATTTTTGTTCTTAATCACGTAATTTCGAGAAATGAAGTTCCCAAGAAAAAAATCCTAGTCCAAGTAAAAGAAAGCCATGCATTTTTGTAATATGCACTTGTTTCGTTGTGTTGCAGCTGCGTACTTTTACGTGGGGAACTCCAAGACCGTCGGCCAGAACGGTTACAAAATCCGGGATGAGCGTGGAATGTGAGTATACACGTGTGCACGATGCTTTGAAAAAATATTTATTCATAATTTTTATAAGTGGAACCACGTTGTGAAATATCCGAGAACGAAAAAGTAGAGCGTCGATCCTGATATATTATGATGTACACTCTGGTGCAAAGTCCGGATGAACTACTTATGTGAGCTAACTGTTGTTTCAAAAGCTGCCATTACTCACAGTTGCGTTGTCATAAAAGTTTGATATTACGGGCTTGGCGTTGGTTTACGTGCTGTGTTTCGCGAATTTAAAATTGAAAATTATTTATATTCTGTTTCTCCGTTTCTGCTGTACCTTGTTCATTCGGTTGAAATCAAAACTACAGATCTATGCAAGATCTAGGTGTCTGATAGAGAAATTATTGAAACCAGGATTTTCAGGGGCAGGTTTTATGAGTCAAATAGTTTCCGTAAATTCTTTGAATTTTCGTATTTTCCAAAAAATTGTTTACTAATTTCTCGAAAGTTTTAATGATTTTTAGATAAACGGTTGAAATTTCAAAAATGTAGTGGAAATATTCAATTTGACAGCAACTTATTTTAAAATTATTATTCGCACTTGGGTAAATACTTTTTGTGACACTTAGAGAGGGGACGGCATTGGTAAATTAAATTTATTCTTCATCGTGAAATGCCGAAAAAGGAGTATTTATTAATAATTTTGTTTAAAAAATTTGTTATTTTTGATTATAAATTTATGTTTACGGATCTCCATGTATTGTCACCTGTAAACTTGAACTTGAAAGTTTTAACAAAAATTATTCATTGAGTCATGGTGAAAATTTTTCCGAAAAAATCAATGAATCCAGTTGTTCCGTACCATTTTAGATAAATCAAGCTTTCTGATCCTTACCTATATATTTACCATCAACCTTGCAAGCATGTACTTTAAATAGAAAAGATCTTACAATCGTTACGTTTCGCAGGTTGACCAACCTCAAGCGGTACAGGAAGAAGGACATCACGTTATCACTGCCCGAAGGCAAGACTTTGAACAATGCCAAGTGGTTTTCTGTCTACTGTGATGAGTACGCCGTAAGTACAGTACTTTAAATTTATAGATTATACGAAACGAACTTCAAAATACGAGTTTGTCTGAAAAAAAAAAAAAAAATGTTTTGCGAGCTCTTGCACATTTTAAAGTATTTTTACTCGTTCTGTTACTTTCTTCAGATCTTTTTTGAATTAAAGTTTTTTTTTCTAATTCTACGACAGTTACCGAATGATTGTATCTTTATAAAATGTGGCCCCAATAGGAATTTGTATTTGTTATTTATTGAAAAATGTGTGAATCAGAGTCAATTTACTGGTGTAATTTTACATTGGAAATTTTATTTTTATTCCAAATTGCATATTCGTTTATTACTAAGTACATAGGCATTGCCAATCAAGATAACGTTCCGCAGCACGTATCGTATGACACTTGTTAATAAACGTTTCAACCAAAATTGTTTCAAGAAAATCGTTGGATTCACTAAAAATTTGTAACATATGTTTTCTTTCTAATATCAGTCAAAGAAACTGATAAAAAAAATTTTATTTAACGAATGTAGTTTGTTTGAAGTTATTCGTACAATTTTGATACCATAAATTGTTAAATAATAATGATAACAATAATAATAATAATAATAATAAAAATCATGATAAAATAGTGATAAAAATATTAACAATGATTCTAATATGATAAAAATATTGGTAATAATAATGATAAAAAATAACGTATCAACTTTTTAAATGCCTTAGTTCATTATTAAAAGACAATGTTAGAATAATTTTTCAAGCATTTAGTTGCAAAAAATCAATCAATACTCCATGAATACCGGTTTTTATAAGCTTGAAATTATTTTTCTCCAAGGATAATTTCCAAAAAAAAAACGATTCTCAAAAACTATAAAAAATTGTCCTTAATTAAAATAATTTTTAAAATTCTTTCACGCAACTTGCTAACAACAAAAAATATCGACTTCTATCCATCGGGTATCCCAAACATTCGAATTAAAAAATGGAAATTGCCACTAAAAAGTTCCGGTGGACTCATCCGAACTACAAAAGCTCCCCAACTCCCACATCCACTTGTAATAAACCGAACCCTAAGCCACTTCGAGCTCATCACCCATCAACACGTAAATAATAATAGATGCAACGCGTGCACCTTATACGTAAGTACGCGTTCACAAGCTCATAATCAACGAATCACCGCGCAATTTTTCGCCAAAAACTGAGTGCGCGACGCCACACGCGAGAATCAAGTTCACCACGCGCTCTGATTAATATTACCGCCCAAACCGTACCCGCAGCTCGCGCCTCGCGTGCACCACCCGAGGGACCCATTCGCAAGCCGCTGCTGCTCGACGACGCCAGTTAGGAGCGCGCGTCTAATTTGAAGAACGGCTTTTCTTTTCTTTTTTCTCCGAAGGGGAAAGTCGTGGTGGTTGTTACATCGTTTGCGGTTTGCTATTGAAATTAACGAGGGGAGAGGGGAAAAAAATGAGGGAACGGATATCCCGATCCCAGACTGAATTCGTTTGCTTCAAGTGCGTTTGAGGGGTCATCGAAAAATCGATCGAGTGACGAATAATCCGTCGTTTGTGCAGGAAAACTTTGGTGACGTGAAGATACCGCGCAGCTTTGATTTCCCGAGGCCGCAGAAGCTCACCGCGTTGAGCGGCATCCACGGCGTCAGTTCGGAGCCCGTCGTCCTCGTCGATGCTCAAACGCTGCTCATACCGAGTTTCAGCTACGACGGCGAAGCTCCAGGTAGGACCAAAAAGATTCAATACCTATATACATGTGATTTTTTATCTTTTGTCCGTAAATCGTGCTATTGCACTGGTTGAAAAATAATAGTAGTATAAAAAATAGAAGCCATTGTAAATCAGTAATCAATTGGTTGTCATATGCTCATAGTTTGATGATTTGTCGATGTTGCGAATGCCCTTATTATTAGAATAGGAATCGTCAAGTAAACACGTTAAGAGAACTAAAAAAAGAAAATCTGTCGTACCTTCTCCTTGCAGAGATGGCGCGTTTACCGATTCCGCCGATTTACCAACTCTTTCTCAAGTGATTACCGATACAATGATTAGGAATAATAGGGGACGCTTATGACTAGATTTATTGAACTTGTTGAAAAATCGGGTAAAAATCAAAGATGACGAATGCGTTGGCTAAGAATTTTATTTGGATGGGAAAAAAATGTTTTACGGTTTCAAAAGTAAAATCGTCGTTAAAATTAAATTTAAAAAATGGACGAATAATGGTATTTGGTACCTCGTGTGCGTAGTTTAATAAATCATTCGAAATAACTTTGAATAAGTTTTCCTTGTCTGAATCCACGAAAAAATGAGCAATTTTTCCGCGCAACAGATGCAAAATTCTGGGCGGGCAGCGGACCATCGCCGTCGCCCCAAGGCATCCGTATCCCCGATGAAAACGGAAAAGAAGTGCCGCTCCGGCGTTACGACCGTAAAACCATTGTGCTGACGCTGCCGGGTGACATAACCGTTCACCAGCTCGGGCACTTTGGCGTGTGGTGCGAGGCGTTCGCCGTCGATTTCGGCCACGTTCAGATTCCGCAGAACGTCAACGTGCCACCGTCCCTCAAAATGCTCGGGGTGTCACCACAGGTGAGTTCTTTGTTCGTTTCTTTGTGTGTGTGTGTGTGTGTTTTTTTTATTCATGGTGTTGCAGTTGCGGGCTTGGATCGTATGGGGATCGTACGATACCGATATTACGTGACTTATCACGCGACCTTACACTCGGTAGCTGACTTTTTTTACGATGCTTGTTAATAAAAAAGGTGTTACGTTTTTCTAAGCAACGTGTAATTTTTATCATTTATTATTAACGAGGATTATATTTGCTATAGCTTGCTTTTACTGTTTTTAGGCCTATGTTAAGGCGAATTAGACGTACGTTCAAAAAATAAAATAATTTTTTTTTTTTTTTTAGTGCTACTTGCTACCCAATCATTGATTAAATACAAATGATTGAAAGTTGTAATTACTAGGTGATTTGACAACACAATATATATTAAGTATGGTATGGTAAAGATGTTTTTATTGGATTATGAAGAAATTTGAGAGACTCTTGACACAGGGATTTTGGTGAGAACGTATGGAAAATAAACGTGAACAAATTATATTAGATTATATTACACTTTCTTGGTTTATTCATAAATAAATCTCTGAATTATATCTACAATACGGCTTACAGCATTCATCGTTAGTCAATTATTTCGACGCGTCACATTAAATATAAATCGCAAAATTCGACTGAATACAAAGAAAACCGGAATATCTTATAATCTAACAGCGCGGTTTCTTATGTTTCTTGATCGGGGCGTTAACGTATTTAATTTTTCTTTTTGGGGGGCGCCAGCGCAGAGAGACAGAGGAAACGGTACCTTTTGCACAGCCCGAGCAGGCTGGCCTTAGTTGACGTCTTGGGCGTAGGACTCTGCCAGGGATCTCCTTGACCATGCAGGGAAGAGGTCCTTCCCTTGTGGTTGTTACGCGGGTTGGGCCTCGAGCTGCTATACCTGGTCCTCTAGGAGATCAACCAGAACACGGTTTTTTCTTTGGATCTGTGGCTAAGGTCTCTGACGTCGTGCCTCTCTGCGGTTGGTGCGGGCGTAGTACTCTCCCAGGCTCAATTAACTTCTCTTCAATAAATCGGAGCGCAAGCAACCAGCTACCCAACTTTTCGGCGGCTTATCGCGGCGCCCCTACCCCTTCTCTCTGCCTCCCCCCTCGAACATAGGCGCGAAATCCTCTAACTTACAACCACCATTACAAATTGCAGCCAAGGGTTCAAAAGTAAGCGATTAGCGGGGCATTTATTAGATACTCGAATGAAGCGGGAATTATTTGTTACCCTGATATATGTATTTAAAATACGAGATCCTTGCGTGCTAGCCTCCTCAAAAGAAAAATGGAAAAAAAGGGGGGTAAAAGTAATGAAATGTAGGACATTTTCAATAGTATAAAATGATTTTTGGAGCCTTGGTACTCGGGCCATTATTAAAATATGCAGCATTTCTTAGGCTGAACTTTGCCCGAAGAGCTACACCCACGTGCTTTGTGATCAAAGAAGACAACGTCACCGACGAGACGCATTCTACAAAGTCCTGGGATTCCCCGTAGCAAATGCCGGGGAATCCCCGTACATCCCTTTTGTGTCAGACATCACTCTACACATCCGTGTGCTACAAACTTTTTTGCTCAACTTTCAAGCTTTTGTATTTTTAATGTGTCGTTAGGGAGGGACTACATGTATATTTCTTAAAACTCGAGTAATTGAGAAAAAAAAAACTTTTATCCTGCTACAAAAGCATTGGCTTTTTTTTATACTGCAATATTTCCCACTCACGTCTCTTTACATCTTTTTTAAAATTATGAAGAAACTATTACTATAGAGTCTGCTATCAAAAATTTCAAAACTACACTTGTCAAAAAAAATTCAACACTTCTCGTATGCCATAGTGTGGTATCGCAAACAATATGGAACTGTAACAATAGTTGGTATACCCCTACTCTTCTCCTGGATAAGTGTATGACATTATCTCAAGTAGAGCATGATTTTGGCCAAAGTAGGTTGACAGTCAAGAGTATTGTGCGAAAAATACTCGTATCCACATGTGCGCTGGCGCATACGAGTGCGAAAAGGAATTAACCTCAAAAAACTCCTTCACAGCGCGAAATAAGCCTCTCGATTGAAATCTCAGTCAGATCAAAGAATACGCAAAACGCAGCCCACAGGAGGGGGGTAAGACAAAAAAAAAAAAAAGAAAAAAAAAGTGCACTCAGAAAACGAGGTGGCGAGGGGGTTGAGTGGCTTTTTCCTCGGTTCGCCTTTCTTCTTCGACGCGCCTTTTCCGGAGACCCGTTCTCTTATCGGCTCAGAAGGGGATTGCAGAGGAAACAGGAGAGACAGGGTCCGAGGCCAGGCCACAAGAGTCAAAGCGACTCTCACGGAAATAAAAGGAGGAAGTGAGACTCGGGGACGGGGAAAGCTCGAAGATTGCGGGTCGTTGTTGCTCCGACGGCTTTTGGTGGAGGCAGTTGTCAACACACCGACTTTGCTCCTACACGTACCATCGTATATAATTATATGTGTGAGCGTATTATCGGGAAAGCTACTTGCAAGCGGAATTCCCTTTCAAAGTAATGCTGTGGACAACAGAGGGTAGCAGAGGGAATAGGTGACGGCGCTGCTGTTGGTGACGGTTGTATATTCTAGGATTTGTTCAACGCTTTGCCGTAGGTGTTTTCTGGGTATGAGGTTGGCATTTGGCAGGAAACGGCGAGGGGTGACGGAAAATCGTCGGAAGTTAGATCAGAGAGCCTTGTGTGTGTGTGTGTGTGTGTGTGTGTGTGTGTGTGTGTGTGTGTGTGTATGTGTGTGTTTTTAATGTAAAAATAGGGATACAATTTTCTCGTCGCTTATTTGAGGATGAAATACGGCTAGTCCAGATTAAATCAGCAATGCATAGGGAAATAATATCGCAGTTACTACTGTCAACGTACATGTACGTTGCCTGTCAGTAATTTTATCAGGATGTTGTGAATACCAATTTTATGTTTACTAAGTTCCAAATGTAAAGTTTTCTCGTGTTGTTGAATTAAAAAAATTTATTTCCATCTTTCACTGCCTCCTACTATTGCATTTTCAATTAGTTGTCTCTCATTAATACTATATAATCTCAAAACTCATCTTACTCCAAAAATAGATGATTTATATGATGTTGTACTTTATAATCTATTGAAAATACACAAGGCGTTGCTGTGCAGGAATCGTGTGTAAAAATATACTTATTTGATTAAAAAATCTATAAATTCATGAAAAGTGCTACTTAGCATAAGTGATCATTAACTGTTGACAGACAGTGACACGATAATGTTTCAGAAAACAGTTCTACTCAAAATTATTATTTAAAACTTGGACTTATCCTAGACAACAAAGTGTTTTTTTGTTTATTCTATTAATATTCACGTCGTCTATAGATTATTATTTACTTTTGTCAGAAAAAAGTGTAATATTTTGTGGTGAAAACTGAATGATTTTAATTTTGCAACCGAGAGTTTTTACAGATTTTAACTCCCACTGTCAATGTATCGAAGCTTTATGATTTATACTGCATTATTTTTCAAAGTACACACTAATTGTTGTACTTGAATACATTTTTCAAGAGCGGACATTTTGAAGCACTACTTTGACACAATTTTTTCTAAAAAAATTTCTGCCCCCCACACGTCCTTTAAGAAAGCTAGTATACTTTTTCAATAAAGGTATTTATAACTTTATCGTAACGAAGTTTGCAATTAATGTTAGCTATAGCATTGTTAGTAAATTATTGTAAAGCTATTATAAATTCACTAAAAACAAGGCTGTGTTTATAAATAATGAGACAGGGATGATAAATATATTATGTGATGTATTTTATTGAACTTCATGTTTATTCATAACAAACATTTATGTACATACGAATATTCACACAAAAGATACAGCCGAATTAAAGATTCATTAAAAAATCTTATTTAGTTTGTTAACTATACGTAAGATTATCTGCCTTCTGCACGCTTTGCACGTCAACCTCTGCAACTCGTACACAACATTTATTTTATTGTATTTTTCAAGTACGATTTAAGAAATACATTTGTTTTTTATTGTTTCACCAAAAATTCGGATTATTTTTACTATTACTTTAACATTGACTTTCAAGTTTATCCACTATGGAAAAACTACGTCAACAACCTAAATCTCAAATAAACAGGATTTATCAAATGGAGCCATTAATTTTTTTAAAAAGGATTCGTATTTTAATTGAAACTTAGATTTCACCGTTGGCCGTAAAAAATTTCACGCTAACGACAAAATATAACTGTTATTTCATGTTAAACAAGTAATTTTAATCATTTATTTAAACAATCCCCAATCAACAAGTATAATTTGATTTTTAACTATAAAACAATCGGATTTCAGACATTACATTATCTGTTGTATTATGTTCTTACCAGCTAGTAATATTGCTCGTAGCGAGGTCCTTATCCATTTCAATTTTAGAAAAATACTTAGATCGCACGCCATAATCTATGGTGGCATATTTGTCAATAACATTATTGAAATAGTTTTGAACATCTTCTGTTTTTTGATTGATATTTTTGTGGAGTCTCAGTTGCTCCTGATTGCTTTGATTTTTGAAAGTACTATAACTGTCAATGACGCTGTCTAATTCATCTTTAAATTCTTTCTCATCCGAAATAGCATTGTTTAACAACATATACATTAGTGTTATGAATGAGTTGACTGAATACTGGTGTGTACTTTTTGCTAAATATTCGAGATCCGAAATCGTTTGCGTTCTTATGTCGTCAAGTTCTTGGTTGTATTGTATTTTTTTCTTTTTAACCAAATCCATAAAATATTGCAGCTCTTCTTTTTCCTGGAGTAAAAAACACATAAAAATTTGAAGTGTCTAAGTTCAGGTCAATATAGGAAAAAAAATAATGAACAATTGCTAGTTTTGTTTCCCAAAGTTAGGGATTTAAAATTAACTTTCGGGAAGAGTATGGTATGAACAAATTAACGCTTCCCTGGTAGAAACGTTACTACATAAACTGGCTAG